ATCATACTCCAACTTCAACATTCACGGATCTCGTTTGGTTTCAATCAAGAAAATCATCAACACTAAGGTAGGCTCTTAATAATCTCTAATTTTCCTTTGTATCTACACAATCCTTTTTTATAAAGATTGATTCAATTTCTATTATCATGGCTGACACAAAAAGCAAAGCCTATATTAAAACACGTTCTGTCTGTAAGGCAAATATATCGAAATTAATTAATTATCTAAATAATAACACTATGTGCGATTTAGATGATGTTCAAACTCGTAAAAGCAAATTAGAAGAATATTTTCAGAAATTTTCAGATAACCAATTTGAATTTGAGTTATATTTAGAAGAAATAGAATCAACAGAATTATTAAATGTGCAAGAAACGGAACGTTCTGAATTCGATGATCTATATTTTAAATGTGCAAAAATTATAAATCAAAAATTGCGTAGTTTAAGTTCTTCAGTATCAAATTCCTCTAAATCAGTTAAATCTGTAGACTCTGAAAATAAAGTACAACAAATTAATGCATTATTGCCTAAAATAGTAATAAGACCGTTTGATGGAAATCCTATAGAGTGGTATAGTTTTCATGATACATTTCAATCTTTAGTTCATAACGATAATGCTATTCCTGCAGTCCAAAAGTTTCATTTATTAAAAAATGCGCTACGTGGAGAAATGACCTCAATAATTGATCCTCTAACAGCTTCTGAAGAAAATTATCTTGTTGCTTGGAACTTGTTAAAACAACGATGTGATAAGCCGCGCATTATAGTTCAAACTCATATTAGGGCAATTCTTGATATCCCTGAAGTTTCAAAGGAATCTTCGCACAATATAAGGGCATTGATGGAAAAAGCATTAATGCACGTTAATGCATTGAAAGCATTAAAACAACCCGTAGATTCTTGGGACGCAATGTTAGTTTATATTATCATTCAAAAATTAGATAAAGGTACCCGCCGGGCGTGGGAAAGAACATTAGAAAATTCACAAATGCCGAGTTTTTTGGAATTAACTGATTTTTTGAGCAAGCAAGCGCGAGGTGATGAATTAGAGTTGTCCAATAATACTAACCATAATAATCGTTACAAAAATTCTAATCAAAATTTAAAATCAAATCCTCGAGCATTTGTAGGAACTCAAAATACATCACTTTGTAAATTTTGTAA